CCCCCCCCCCCCCCTTCCCTTTTCTTCTCTTCTTCTCTGATTTTTTCTTCCAACTCATGTTGAATTTATTGAGGGAGGAATTAAGTAAGGGGGATTTAAAGAAGAGGGGGATTTGATTTAAGAGAGGGATTTAAACACTGTAGCTACAGTGTTAGTATTGCATTTATTTAGAAATCTCAAGTTTGAGATCTGCTCTTGCATTGTAATTTCTTGTTAATTAATAAAAAATTACCGAGGACGTAGGCAAGTTTCCCAAACCTCGTTAAATCTTGGTGTACTTTACTCCATACTGGGTTTTTTTTTTGTTTTAGGGGTTTAGCGTAGCCCTGGGTTTTTCCCAATAGCACCTGCAGTCTTAAGTTTTTGAACATATAATTAAGGAAGAAATATCCATTCAAGAGTACTTCAGTTGAATTGAGATAAAGAAGGTTGTCAGATAATCTGGTTTACACATGTTAATTTCACTTCAGTTGAATTGATATTAAGAAGGTTGTTAGATATCTGGTTTACACATGTAAATTTTATCCTGAACCACAAACTTAAGACCTCATTTAGAAAGCAATAGCTAACAAAAAAGTGAAAGCATACTGAATTGCTTCAGAAAAGTTAAAAAACAGTTCATCCTTTCACGTGAACCTATGGATGTACCATTGATTCAATATAAGCATGGCCTTACTAAGGTGTAAAGATTACTGGTGCATAAATTTAAATAAATCATCCTCTGGTACAAACATGAGACTTTTTAGAAAGGAATCACTAATCAGGTTAACATAAAATATTGTTTTTGTTTGGTGGGCTCATATAATAAGCATGGCCTTACTAAGGTGTAAAGATTACTGGTGCATAAATTTAAATAAATCATCCTCTGGTACAAACATGAGACTTTTTAGAAAGGAATCACTAATCAGGTTAACATAAAATATTGTTTTTGTTTGGTGGGCTCATATACACCCACGAAAACAGCTGATGCCCCGTGGATTAAAAGGATAAACAGTAATAAGGAGGGTTGCAGAGTGGTGAGACAATTTAAAAAAAAAAGAAGTACCAACAGAATATATAAGCAAAGAAAACCATGATGTTGGCAAGAATGTCTTCAGTTACATTAGTGCGACTAACCATTTACAGTGCATCCCTGCTAATGTGCCCTCAAAGATTTACATCCATTGAAATGTAACATATAAAATATGATAAATATGGTTTTCTTGTGAATTCACATATTTGGGTATCTCCTGAACATATAGTACTTAAAAAAGCGATTAATAGAACACACAATAAAAGTAGGTTTTCCAAATTGATAAGAAAACTCACGGTAGGACCCCAGCAAGATTTCCAGCCAACTCTGAATACAAGCCTTTCCATTGGATTTTTCTCCCAGCACGAGTAGCCTGAAATGAAATGAATGGTTCATAGAAAGTGACCAACTGCTCTCACAAGAACATAAATACTGGATTCCTTAACTTAAACAATCAAAAAATTCTAGAGCACAAATTGAGAACATGAAGGCATAGTTACAATCAATGCACATAATGATAGACATTAAAATCACGAGTCAAAGTCCTGAGCATACAAGTATTAATAATACTAAATGCACATGTAAACTTTAAATTCAGACCTAAGTGCTCGAACTGATGAGAAGATTGTGATAGTCAGCTCATTACATAATTACTCACAGACAAGCTTTGAGGATCTAGCCTTAAGAAAATTCTAGTAACAACAGTATCGAATACCTGACCTAGAGCATTCATAGTTTACATATGAAGGCATAAGTACTTTCAGCAAGAATAACCTGCCTGAAGCCGGGCATTATCGTATATATAGGATATAGGACTGATTCAACAACAACACCAGCAGTGCCTCCTGCTATAATACCATCTAAAAGAAGCAAAGAAAGATTTAATTAAGCCCAACAATAAGTTAACAACTAAATGAAAATAAAAAATAAACAATATCACTGTCATGATATTAAATTTAGACCCCAGAACCCAAAAATTTACAACACGTTTTACTTCACCAACAAATGGAACTTAACTTACACCTCTTCCACTTTCCTCAAAAGCCTCCCTCCTCCCTTCTTACCTTATTATTTGTGTGTGTGTAATTTTTTTTTTTGCTCATCTCGATTTAAAAGATCTATGATTTATGTATCCTGACAGTTTACAGAAGGCTAAGAATGATAACTAACTTTACTTACATAGCTACAATCAGAAATATTTTGTAGTCTAACTAACTTTAAAAAAAGTATGTTTTAGTTCCAAGCCAACAAGAAACAATGCCCCCACATACCAAATAGTATCCGCACAAAATTAAACGGCTTTTCATCTTCCATGGTGACTGATGCAAATGGCTTTGAAGATTACACCTTGGGGTTGTGAAATTTACTCATATAAGCATCTACAAACAATTAAATTAAATTAAATTAAATTGAAAAATAAGTCTGCTCAAAGAGAACTCAAAATATTAAAATAAAAAAAACCTAAATTGTCACATTTACATCCTAATTCTTCAGCCACTTAGAATAGTTGTGACCAAAAAATCTATAGTTCTGAAACATGATAGCAATTGGAATTTATGGCAGTTGACTTGAACAAATTTTTAAGTAAATTACACAGTTCCCTTTATCAAAATTCTTTTCTCAACTTCAAACTAATATGTTTGCCATAGCTATTACCTCCAAGTAAACTAACATGGTCAAAGTCACAATAAAAAATAAAATTTGAACTCAGTAATAAAGTTCCTTCACATTTTTTTCGACAACTTCCTCAACTTTTCATACTTCTTAATTAATAGACAAAATAAAATCTTCAAATTCCAGAATTCAAAATCAAAACCAAACTTAAAGTTGTATACACGATTCCTAACCAAATTTTTTTTCAAACAGTTAATTCAAACTCTTACAGTTCTCCATAGTTCTTCAGCTCTAAGAAAAATAAAATCTTCAAAAGCCAGAATTTTCAAAGTAAAAACAAAATAATAATTAAGCTTATTTACACAATTTCTTCACCAAAAAAGCTATACTTCCAAAAAATTCTTCAAACTTTCATATTCACCCTAGTTCTTCACCTCTAAACAAAATAAAACCATCAAAATCCACAAAATGTCAAAACTGCACTTATTAATAATATTTAAATCTCCACATCGATCATATTTTAGAAATCCTAGATTTTAACATTAAACAGGATTATATCGAACACATTTAATTCTTGCTTTTGAGTCTGAAATTAGCATCTCAATATTGCGTCAAAGGAATACATTGTAAATATTGCGACAAAATTTACCAATTTTGTCTACAAGTGCAGATATTTTGGAGGTTAGATCAAAAAAAGAAGAAAACTAACATAGAAGAAATTAAGCAAGCATAACAGAAACTAAACACACAAGAAGAAAAAACTCCACATTCAAATCAGCAGTAGGTCAGAACCAAAATAGATCAGAACCTAAGTAGATCATCATAAGTGAAGTACATTAACAACCAACCTCAATTAAGCGTGAACTCCAAAAGCGTCATCTTTGCTCCATCAAAACTGAAGCACTACGCTATTTATAGAGGCAGGTGGGGGCATGGGAGGGGAAGGGGTGGATAAGAAACAGAACAATCCGGAGAATCAGGGAGGAAGAGGCGGAGGGGGGGGGGGGGGGGGGACTAAGTAGATCATCATAAGTGAAGTACATTAACAACCAACCTCAATTAAGCGTGAACTCCAAAAGCGTCATCTTTGCTCCATCAAAACTGAAGCACTACGCTATTTATAGAGGCAGGTGGGGGCATGGGAGGGGAAGGGGTGGATAAGAAACAGAACAATCCGGAGAATCAGGGAGGAAGAGGCGGAGGGGGGGGGGGGGGGGGGA